TTTCTACGTAAGAATTTCGACTAGTTATCAGTAGATGCGAGGCATGACTGTGTCATTTTTCAGCCCTCTCGGTCCCGATCATCCCATCCCTGAGATCTTCCTGGACCTGGATTCGGATTCCGAGTCGGACGATGATGAAGCTGAGGAGCGTCTTCAGTTCTTCATGAGCGCTGATTTCGAGAAGGCTGACGATCTGAGGGAGAACATCATTCCTCGCGCTTTCAAGTAATATCTTCGGTGGAATTTTCAGTGGGAAATATTTATATCGAAGTTTGGTATAAATACATTTTCACAGAAAATTTTCGATTATCGAAGTGAGTTTCCGTATAACACTCGAATGCGGTGCTGACGGTGTATCAGTCTTTTGAATGTAGATGATGATGAAATCAAATGTTATGATGTTCGAGGCATGTTAGTCATATTGTGATGCTATCAGATACTTTACTGGTGAGGCTGCCGACTATGATTCCGATGAGGACGACTCCGAGAGTGATTGCGAGGGTGAATGCGATGATGACTCTGAGGAGGCCGATGAGGAGGCTGCTCAGAAGCATGAGTAAACACTATCGTTGTATACGAAGGTTTTCCGATGGAAGCAAAGTGTCTCATACTAGCTTTTCTCTTTACTCTTATCGTTGTATCGTCACTGAAACGTAGATAGCTCTCAGAACAGCTGCGGCATTGTATTGATCGAATGTGAGGTGTAGTATACCTTGGGCGGTTGATCAAGTGAGGAACTCTGCCAAGCTTGTTTCTGGTTACGTTCATAGATGAGAGGTTGTTGCGTTGTCTTGGTAAAAGGGATGGAGATTCCGAATTGAAATTGATTCCATAAGGATATGGTAAATTCGTTAGGAAAGGGCTTTCAAGTCTTCAGATTTTCTTGGTGTAGCGTTGTTACATTGACGGTGTTGCACGTGGATAGTTCGAGGCTCGTTGTGGTGTCCTTGGTAAGTGGGATTCACACGTGAGCAGCAAGGGACTGTCAGAAGTATAAGAGGGATTCATTTTCGACGTGGTCTCTCTATTTCAAAAGACTCCTCGATGATTATCCGAGAAATGGTGGGCGTTCGTATAGCATATTGTTATTCGATGGGAAGATCGGTTTAATCGTGTTTGGAGTGTGGGGTATGCTCCGAGCAGCTTCCTCGCGTAGGATGCGAGTGATACAGCATAGTTGTCTGTACATAAACAATTTCCAGTTCTTGCTATTCCCTAGTTACGTTACCGTCACTTCCCCGGCATTTGGTTTATCGCGGACTAGATAGTCCTTCCTTGGATCGCGAAAAGCTCTTTATGGGTGGCTAATATGCGGTGTTTTCACGCGGCTCGTCAAATATTCAGAAATTTGTCTTGTTCATGTCAACTAATCGTCCGCGACTTCTCCGGCTGGTGAACACAGCCTTCATGCCG